TTTTCAGTGGTGTCACGCCAATAAACGGCATACTATAAAGTCACGCCAAAAATCGGCGTGACTTAAAAATTCACGCCAATTTTTGGTGTGAATTTCTTGTCATTCACGCCAAATGACGGCGTGACTTACATTACACGCCGTTTATCGGCGTAAATTTCGTGTCACGCCAATTTTTGGCATGACTTTTTGTCACGCTATTATGTGGCCATGTGTCCGACCATTACGTTTTCGGTGAAGTCACGCTGATTCATCGGTGTAAGGCTTTGAACTCTGCATGCAAGGGTGACCGCGTTGAACCACGTGCAGAAGCAAAGTAATTGGTCGGAATCGAAACGTGCCGTACCAAAATAAATCTTTTGACCGAGGGGGTATGCGCTCTCTGAACCTGTGTACCGACTATTACGCTATTACGCTCTATTACGCCACAAATTAATAGGAATTTAGCTAAAAACGGCCAAAAACACCCCAAAAATTTGAAAAATTTTTGACAATTTTGGCTATTACGCGACTATTACGCGTATTATTACGCGTGCTATTACAGATAGAGTGAACCGACTATTACGCGAGTGCATACCCCCTCGCTTTTGACAGTGCGGTGAGTAGCGCCAGTGCAGACGGGGAAGGGAGAAGGGGCGTGAGAAAGCGAGAGGGATAATAAATACGGCAGAGCATGAACATAACTCAATTTCTGCAACGCTTCATCTTCGACAGTTAGTTTGTGGTTTGGCCGCTCGGGGCGTGGCAGTGTGGCGGTCGGCCTCTCTCCTCCGGGCGGTGTCCTTTGTCGTAAGCGTCGCTCGGCTTAATTGCTCCTTTTATCGCTTCTTCTCTTTCTTTTCCGATTTTTCTTTCTTTTTCTTCGGTGACGCCTTACTGAGCTGCCGTGGGCCGGTCGCCGGTCCACACACCAGAAAAATGAGAGAAGTGGCTCACTCCTGACACGCTTAAAACCTTACGAAGTGTTTTGTGTCAGGTGTAAACTATTTAGTTTGCTCTTAGTTTGTATAGTTCATGAATTACGAAGTATTTTCTTTGTAAGCTTACGTAGGCGCAAAACGTTACAACTGTTTTAGACCTTTCACAGAAAAGAAGCTTGTCATAACAAAGTATTTTGAACATTCATAAGCTTACAAGGAAAATACTTTGTAATTATTACGAATTATTTCTTCGTATAACAAACTCAAATAGCTTGTGCCCTTTATAGCACACTGCTTTCCTAGGATTGTGACCGTGCTGACCCACCACGACCCGGACGTGTGACCCCACCAATGGATTCCTCGTTCGGAGAGCAATCCATTGGTGGTGTCACACGTTAGGTTCGAGGCCCGTTTAGCGACTCTGGTGCTCAAAACGCGTCGAGAATTTCGGCCGCCTCCACCGCGGGGCTTCTGGGCCCCCTGCCTGGCGGGACGCTGCGCCGGGCCGCCGCCGCCGGGTCGCACGGGCGAGGGCAAGGGTAGCGACGCAGCAGGGCCAGGGGGCAGGGCGTAGCGACGCGTCTGCCCTCCTGCACGGCTTTCCGTTCGTTCGGGAGTGTTTCGTTTTGCACCCCATGACGCGCCCACACCCGGGGAAAGGGGTTCCCCCTCGCAGTGGAGGCGTCATCCACCCGACAGCCTGTCCCTAGTTTCAGCAACCACCAAAACCGAAAAGGGGGGGGCGCTGAACCGCCGGGTGGCGCTCTCTCTCGCTGGCGGTGTCGCTCACTCAGGCGGTACATATACACTCGTTGCCGGTGATACTGCCCAGGGGTCCGCAGGGTGAGCGTTCGCCTCCGCACACACGCACACACTCACTCACACACTGGTGAGAAGCCCTTCGGTCGGTGCTAACTGGCACGAACGCGAATCGGTGGATAGCGCCACCGCCTGAACGGTCACCCACCTTCGACCCCTTTTGCACTTACTTCTTCGTACGTCTTTGCTGGCTCGCTCCTACGCGATCGCACAGGCCACTTGGACCTCGTTTTTCTCTGGCCCAAGTTCGACGGTCCGATGTCCGAGTCGTTCAAAGTTTTCAACAACCGTCACCATGTTTGCCCACATCCGTTTGCCCCGCCGCGCCTCCGTATCCTCCTCGTCTGGACTCATGACAAACGGTTCGCCTGGGCGCGCGAAATGATGTGCCTCCCTGACAAACGGTAGCAGTCAAAGAAGTTTAGCGCGGCACTGCCTAAGTTTTTTTTTGCATGCAGCGACAGGCCTTTTGTCCCTCCCCCCTCAAAATGGCCGCTATATACCGCCTGAAATGTAAGCAAGTAAGGCATAAGTAGGCAAAAAGTGCTACTTTGCCCTCCCTCCAAAGGCCGGCTCTCATGAACAACCACTGACTTTCTAAATTGTCGTTCTGTAGGTCTATTGTGTTTCGAGTAATAGTAAGGGTGGCTGGAGATTGAAAAGTTATGCATAAGGATGACCCCATCTTAAATTTAATTTTAGAGGGGGTCGCCTTTATTGAGGCCATGACTTTTCGATCCGGAGCCGTATACGAGTTATAGAAATACCGCCAACATTGCGAGAATTTACTGGCAGCGCGCCCTGCCAGTGACCTGGCCTTTGAAGCAGAACCACGAGTGTCAAAAAGTGGGTCGAATGATGGCGTCTCCCGCTAGACATCATCGCGCGTACACTCGCGCATTCGCGCGCTGCTTCGCCAGTGCCGGTCACCCTTTGCCAGACTCGACTAGCCGCGAGCAGCTCCTGCACCGCGAACCTCACAGGCCGCACTTGGTGACACGGATGGCGGGACGGCAGACGCCCCGGACCCAATGCTGCGCGTGTTTGTATATATGCCCCCGGCGGGCGAGCGGAGTCGTCACCGCGAGGGAAGCGGCAGATGAGGCGCACGCACCGCGCGGCGTGGCGTGGCGTGCGCGGCGTGGCGGGGACGCAGCTCCCCCACCCCCTCTCTTCCTGGTGCGCTGGAAGTGAAGAGGGCCTGTACCGTGCGAGTAAATCGCTTGTTGCGGGACGAAGTGTGAGTCCTCTGTGGCTCCCACAAGGACCCACCTTTTAACTGGCAGGGTACCTAGTGCAAAGGGATTGTTTTATTTCGAAAGGAGTTTGCGTTTCAAAGTTGTCTCAATTGACATCACATAGCGGGAATGGATTCGTCTCGACAAGACAAACCGAGGATGTCAACACTTTTGCCATAGATATGGATGTGAAGTAAAAGAGTTATTGAGCTTCAAAGTTTGTAAAATAGCCAAAAAGGACTTTTTGTTTGTCTTGCCAAAATAAATCCGTTTCTTAACCAAGGTGGATTTCAACGTGGCACTTTTACCATGAGCAATTACGTCTGCTACTCACGGACCAGTTTACTCTTCTGATAAGGGAGCGCCAGCACTTGAGTCCCACAAACTCATCCCAAATAAAAATTCCTGAGCTCGAACTTTTCATCCCGTTGTTGGGTGTCCACCCCCTTGCCACCCCTTGCTCGCCCGGGAGGGGAGGGGTACGAAGGTTGTTTAAGATCGGTGAACAACGGGTAGCTGAACCAGTCCTGAAATTTTCCAGCAGATTCGATGAGCCGTTTACCCTCGGGGGTCAAACAGCTGTCGAAATCAGTGACATCATCCCCCAAAGTTCACACCCCTGGCGAACAAGCGCGGATTCAGAGGAGGGTGGGACAGCTGCCCCCGCCCCCTTCACCCTTCTAAAGCCGCGCAAAAGGTAGGGAAATAAGCAACATACTACTTTGCCCCTGTAAGTGGCCAAAAAGTTTTATTTCCCCCTCTTTCAGGCCAACTCTGGATCCGCCACTGCTGCCGAATGCCGAATTGAGGTACGGTTGCGACGACGCATATGAAGGGAGTACCGCACGCAAGTTACGAGGCGTTTCGGTCGTTTCCCGTTTCTCTGTAAAAATTGGTTCTCTCAAGGCAGTCACTACAAAGCGTCGCTCGGCGCCACCGCCTGCCGAGCGATTCTGAAGAGTCGCTACGTCGCCCTGTCTCTCTCGCACTCATGGGCCTCTCCGTAAGGATGCGAGAGAGACAGAGCGACAAACAGATCTTTTGAATCGCTCGGCTGGACAGCGGACAGCGGAGGGGAAAGGGGCCTGAGCCCTCGTCTGGCCCTCGCCGCCAAGGTAGGCAACTCACCACGCGCGGCGTGTCAAATGGGTGGCCTACCGACCAGGCGCTCAGCGTTCGTTGCTCTCAAGGCCCGCTCTACAGTGAACGGTTATTGAGGGTTAGTCCGTAAATTTACTTCACAGTGCTTTGATACTTCCTTAGGCCTCCCTGCTGAGTTCTCCTAGGAGTCAAAAGGAGGGTATGGTCACTTTCATTCATCGAGCGGGAAGGAAGATCTATTCGCAGTTAGGTCATGCTTATTCGCACAACTGCGATTGGTGCGCTAAAGTATGAGAAATTCCGCGTGCGCCTTCTGCTTCCCGTTTCTCGTGGCTAACCTTTCAAATCATTGGACCTGATAAACCCAAATTTTCAAAAGTATTCTCGCAAATCAACTGCCATGGGTGACAGATTCTACGCAGAAGACGACGACTTCTTCGTTAGCAACCGCGGACGCAAGGGGTAAGAAGTGAATCATCTGAGAAAAATTAATTTCAAGGGACGAGAATGGTTCATTTGACAGAACCCAGAATAGTAATTTATTTCAAGGCTTTGGCAGTGTTCAGTGTTGTTGTCTCAATCAAAATGATAAATTTGATATTTTCAGCGGTCGAAATTCCGGTGGTGGCGGTTCTGGTGGATCATCTAAAAAATTTACAACATTTCGCAACAGGAAGCAACAACAGCAGAAACATCCAAGAAATCAGAGAGGTTACTGTTGTTCACATTTTTATTACTTTATTATTGTGAAATTTTTATCGAGTGTTCCATCATATCAATGGTGTGTTCAAACTCTTTGTTTAACAGATCTCCCTGTTTCCTTCAATGACAATGCTGGTTCAAGTCGTGGCGGTGGAAGTGGCCAGGGCAGCTCGTTTCCTAAACATCCTCCTCACCTGAAAGGGAAAGCAATTGGTATGTTTCTTTTATTTTGTTGGTTTGAATCTGTATTAGTCGATGCAATGCGTCTCATGTCATGATCTTTTCCAGGGCTTTACTATGCCAGCTTAAGCAAAAAGAAGAAAGAAGCTGAGGGAGGGAAAGAGAAAGAGAAGAAAGCTGAGAAAATGGAAGGGGTATGCCATGATAGTTTTCTCTCAATTTTATTCAATCGTAAAGCTCTTGTTTTGTAACTGTATTATATTTTGTTGTTGTTTGCCTCACAGGGAGTAACTATTAACATCAGTCGTGAAATGGAAGACCAAATAAGATCAATGCTTGAGCAACTCCCTCGTTATTTAGGAAATTCTGTGGAAGATCAGATGCCAGGTTCTAGCCATGCAGAGAGCGCATCTGTGACAACAAAATATAACCACCTTCCTGACAGCCAGTTCAAAAAGAACTTTCTGCGCAGTTTAACTGAAACCATTGATTCCAAGATAGAGAGACTTCTGAAGACACACTCGGTATGTCTATATTTTCTTGATATCTGAGTAATTACCGGTACTGTTGTATTTCCAATATTGTATGAACTTTTTGTAACGTGCTAGGCATTGGAAAGAAACCCATCTAAGGACAAAGAACTCAAAGATAGGCTTCTTGATAAAAAGGAGAACTCAAAAAAATATAAGACTATGTATGAGGCCCGAAAAAAGTTACCCTCTTTCAAAATGCAGGAATCAATCCTTGATTTAGTGAATAAGAATCAAGTTGTGGTGATAAGTGGTGAAACTGGTTAGTACTTACCAATCAGTACCTTCAGCTCAATGAACATAGCAGTTCTATGAAGTTGTAATTAAAATTCTATTTTCTGTTTATTTCTAATTTTTTTTCTGACAGGTTGTGGTAAAACCACTCAAGTTGCTCAGTTCATTCTCGATGATTACATCATGCGGAACGAGGGTTCACTATGTCGTATTTTATGTACACAACCCCGACGTATCAGTGCAACTTCAGTTGCAGAACGGGTGGCAAGTGAAAGAGATGAGCAGATTGGCACTGTTTCTGTAGGTTACCAAATAAGGCTCGAGAAGTGAGTATTGCTACTCATAGTACCTTGGCTCATTGTAATGTTCTCCAACAATTTTGTCATTCATTGTGTATTTTCTTTCCAGGGCTGTGGCACCAAAGCAGGGCTCTATTTTATATTGCACTACAGGAATTCTCTTGGAATGGATGCAATCTGACCCATCTCTTGCAGATACATCTCACATAATACTTGATGAGATTCATGAACGAGATACCGTCTCAGATTTTGTGATTACACTTCTCAAGGATATTCTACCTAAGGTGTGTAGCCAATTTTTGGCCTTGAAAGATATGTGCTATTGGATTTTGCACCATGTGAACTCTACTTTTTCAGCGCCCTGATCTCAAAGTGATATTGATGAGTGCTACTTTAAATGCCGACCACTTCTCCCGTTACTTCTATAACTGCCCTTCTCTCAATATTCCTGGTTTTACTTTCCCTGTGGAAGAATTTTACCTTGAAGATGTCATAGAAATGTTGAGGTAAATTCTTTATTCATTTTTTTTTGTGATTAAACACATTTTTTCCAGCTCTCTTTTAAATCTTCCTTTCTATCATACTCTCCAGGTTTCAATTTCCTATGAGTAGGAAAAAGTGGGGGCAAGGCGAGAATGGAAATGATTTTGCAGATGTTATTGGGCCTCATATTAGGTACTTCACATACTATAAAGCAACTTGTATAAAAATGATTTGATCATTATGTTCACTTATTTTATAATCATATAAATACTCTCTGTAGATACTTGGAAAAGCATAGGAAGTATTCGCGGAAGACCATAGAAGCCCTCCGAAATCCAGAATCAGAAGAAATTAATTATGAGCTACTCTCAAGGCTTATTTCTTACATATGTCAACACAAACCAGATGGAGCAATCCTTGTATTTTTACCTGGTTGGGAACAGATATCCAAGTTGAACACCTCATTGACTGGAATAGATCATTTTAAATCTTGTAAGAAACTCATCCTATGCTGTTGATTAACCGCCGATATCTGTTGATATCTTCCAGGTCTTTGCAACTGTCCTACATTGTTTCTTTTCTTTATATTCCAGCTATGTTCAACATAATACCATTGCATTCTCTTATGCCAACTTCAGTTCAAAAGTCTGTTTTTGACCGGCCCCCAAAAGGTTCTATTGGTTACTTTTCTATTTTGACTTTGTTTGATGCTGTTCTTTTTGTCGCTAACTATATTTTGTCTGAGCAGGAGTCAGGAAGATAATTCTTGCCACTAATATTGCTGAAACATCCATAACAATAGATGATGTTGTGTATGTTGTGGATTGTGGTAAAATCAAAATGAAAAACTATGATATAAAAAACAACATTCAAACTTTGAAACCAGAGTGGGTATCTCTTGCCAATGCTAAGCAACGCAAAGGTCGTGCTGGAAGGTAGGTTAAACTTTGACATTTTCTTTTTGTCTTGCTTACATGTTTGAAATCAATGAAAATTCAGCATCATTTTTTGTTTTGTCTTACTTTATTTTTTCCAATTCTGCATAACAGAGTGAAACCAGGAATTTGCTATCATCTCTTTTCTAAAGGACGTGAGATGACTCTTCAGGACTATCCCCTGCCTGAAATGTTGCGATCTCGCTTGGATGAAGTTATAATTAAAATCAAGATGTTGCAGTTAGGAGCTGCTAGTCCCTTCTTGGATAAGGTTTTGAATCCGCCGGATCCTCTTGCAGTCACCCATTCCCTGGAGGTTTGTCCCTTTTTTTTTCTGTGAGAAATGCTTGGCATCTAGTCAAGCTATTCAAGATGTATTTGTCACATGTTACAGAATGATGTTATTCTGATCTTTCTTTCTTTTTTACAGTTGTTGAGATTGATGAATGTTTTGGACTCCTCTGAAAACTTGACACCTCTTGGTTACAATCTTGGAAAGCTGCCTGTGGACCCTCACACTGGCAAAATGCTTTTAATGGGAGCTTTGTTCAGCTGTGTGGATCCAGTGTGCTCTGTTGCTGCCAGTCTTAGTTTCAAGGATGCATTCATGATTCCACTTGTCAGTTTCCTACATATCTTTAAATATCTCAAAATGATTTTAACCCAATCCCTCCTATACCTGAGCTAACATGTATTTTATTAATTGCAGGGCAAAGAGAAAGAGGTTGACCGTATCAGGATGCAGCTGTCAAATGGCAGTAAAAGTGATCTTTTACTGACTGGTGATGTTCTGATGCAATGGGAAATGGAAGTGAAAAATGGGAATGGTGGTCCTTTCTGTTGGAGAAACTTCTTGTCCCAGAACACACTTAATATGCTGAAGTAAGAGCAACTGACATAATCTGAACGCTTATACTATTGCTGAATCATTTAAATATACCTCATTGTTTTCTTTTTTCTTTACCTCTCCTTAGGGATCTGAAGAAACAGTTTGTTCATCATTTACATGACATGAAATTTTTGGAAACAAGCAATCCTTTTGCTGATGCTTCAAATGTCAATTCAAATAATACAAGCCTTGTGAGAGCTATCATTTGTGCTGGGCTATATCCAAATGTAGCATATTTACAGTGCGTATTCTTTAGATGACCATTTATAGGTGAATACTCTTTAGTCGTGTTCTCTTGTTCTTTCATTAATTCATGACCTTCTTTATTTCCTTTTAGCAAGTGTAGGAGGATTGGGTCTGGAAGGAATGTCAAGAAGATGACCACTCCTCAAGATGGCAGAGTGGTCATGCACCCAAAATGTGTCAATGACAAAGAAACATACTTCCCCAGTCCCTTCTTTGTGTATCATTTGAAGTTAAAAAGTGCAAGTATCACACTTCATGACACCACAATGGTTTATCCCTTACCTTTACTTTTCTTCGGAGAAAAAATCAGGTACTATCAAGAAAATGGTAAAGAGAAAGTGGCAGTCGGTAAACATTTACATTTTAGATGTAAACACTCAATCGCATCTATTGTATTGGTGAGTACGCACGGTGCTATTTGAACCATTCACAACTTTATCCTAATGTCCATTGATTTAAAAATTTCTTTTTTCAGGAATTGCGTGAGCACATGAATCGTTTGCTGGAATATAGAGCAAGTCACCCCGCTGTGATACCGTGGGAAGATAGGAAACACCCACACACTACTCTCCTAAAGTAAGTTGTGCTCCAATTTTATTTTATTTTTGAGATTTGTTGCATATGCTTGTCTGAACTTTAAATTCACACAGTGATCCATGTACCTGAATACTTACTAAAAGAAATGTTTATTGCTGTTGTTAAAAACTGTTTTAAAACTATGTTACAGGGCCATAGTTCAATTAATAACATATGAAGATGCTGGAATGATACAAATAGATTCCAGTGATGAGAGTGATGATGACAGTGATCTCGTGGCAATGGAAGAAATATGAGTGTGAGCGGACAAGAGTTACACCAGGTAGCCCATTGACTTGATTGTCTTTGCTATATTTCTCTCAGTCCATCGTATCAAAATGCAAGGTCTAGTCATTCCAAGTTCTCAAACAAGAGTTGATTTTAAGTGCAAATTTGAAACTACTTTCTCTCCGATATGAAATTATTGATACCTTTGCAAAGGTAGAAACTGTCCAATCCCTTTCTGCAAAAATGTTATTGTTTCCTCAAAATCAGAAAAAAAATTATTGAAATAAACATGATGGAAAAAAGCAGAAACTTTATTGCAATATTACATTATTTTTTTACAAAATTAGAAAATTTTCATTGCCTTAGGTAGAGATTTGATTATGTGATTTACAATACATACTTGATAGGGCAATAACTACAATAACATTGGTTTCTTCTCTTTGACTGATACATAAGAGCAATAATCATAGGCAACAGGAGAAAAAAAGTATATTTACATGTACATGGGAGAACAGGCAGAAAAGATGAAAAGCTTATCTTGCAGATTAGCGTCATCTAAAAAACATAACGAGCACCATAAGATTCAGACTACAAAACTTAAGAAAACTATAAATCCATGTGGAATACTCTCCATTTCATAGATTTTTTTGATTGTACATGGAGAATTATCTCCAACTTAAGAGCATTTTCTCATTGGGAATGCTGATAAGATTACTTCTACTTTTATTGCTAGTCGATGACTATTAAAACAGACTCAACAATATTTACTATATCATGGTCTTCTTATTCCCTTTCTTAAACTTACAGCTTTCATACTTAGAACTTACAATATTAATTTTACTGTACCTTCCGACAGTAAACGCCAAGAGACTTGCACTTTTCGCACAAGTGCTGGGGATGGACCTTGCTCTGATCCGACTTGTCCAAGCCATCTGGGTCTTCCAACGGCCTCTGCAACATACATTAATACGCAACGTTCATGAATATGTTACAGAGTTGTCGAAGCCCAGACTGCCTCTGTATTGTCTGATGCCGCTAACCTGCTTGTGAGGGTAGACTTTGATGTGGCACTTGATGCACTCCTGGCCCATGTTGGCCCAGCTGTTCCCGGACATCCACTTCCGCTTGCACTTGGGGCACTTGTACTCCCCGAAGCAGCGCTTCTTGCCCTGGTACGGCGTCAGGCCGTCCCCCTTGGGTCGCGCCTTCATGGAAACAGAGCCAGACAGAAAAGCCAGGTCAGTCAGATTCAATCTTTGGACGGCTGGGCTGTCCTGGGTTGGCATTGTTGGCTGCGCAACGCTCGCCACGGCCAGGTCACGGCCAAGCCACGGCCACGGCAGGTGGGCGGGTGACCAAGTCCATTTCCTTAAGGGGGATGGTGGCGTCGCTCCTCTCTGAAGGCGACGAAGCTGCCTGAGAGGTAAGGCAACTAACCGAACTTCGTCCCTGTAGGTAGGCATCTTTTGCGACACCACGCCCCCCTCTAAACCCGTCCCTGGATCCGCCCTTGAAAAAAATGTCACCTTTGTGTGGTGAGCATCAAAGTTCTTGCCACAAAAATGTTTCCTCACCTCATGGATGGTAGAACAATTTATTCCAAAACTTGGTGAAAATTTTGATTTTTTTCCCCCACAGGGCGCTGAAATTAGGTCACAATGCTCACACTTAATGTTATGTACAAATTTTGTACGAGACATTACAGTTTTTTGTGCACACGACGAACTTTTCGTACAATTTTTGTACGAAAAACTGCACATATTTCCCCATTTTTTTGTACGAAACCGCTTACCAATTTGTACAAAACGTTCTTGTACTGTGATGTCTCGTACAAAATTTGTACAAAAACATTTAGGGTGCTCACTCCGCAATTTTCCGCGTTTGGCACGCGCGCGCACCTACCTGGGGACAGTCCCTGATGTAGTGGCCCTTGTTGAAGCACAGGTGGCACATGTAGCTGTCCGGCGGCGCCTTGCCGTGCTCGCACGCCTTGTTGAGGACGTCCAGGTCGGCGAGGCTCAGCTCGGCCAGCTGGTCCGCCAGCTCCCCGAGGGTGACGCCGCGCAGCAAGTCCGCCCCCGGGCCTGCCGGGCCCAGCCCGCCCAGCCGCAGGCCGTGCAGTCCAGGGGCGGAACCAGCGCGCTGCGCAGGGGCGCCGGCCTTGAGGCTGGCCTTGAAGAAGGGCTGCGCGGTGGCGGTCGGGAAGGGCCGCCACATCTGCGGGGGCAGCCTGGTGCCCTCCATGTTCTGGAAACGAAGACATTCCGGGATCAACGCCACTACGTATAACAAATAAATTGGAAATTTACAGAGGCGACAAGCAAATATATTACGTCATCACTTTCGGGGGAAGGGATACGACGTCAGATGACGGTCCTATACCTTAAAATACATGGGAAGGTCAGGTTGAACCGATGATTTGGGAAGGGGGAAAGGGGGGAGGAGTGGCCTACATGATGTGACGTAATATTTGCACATCGCTGAACGTAGCTCTGGAAAAAATAATGCTTAGTTTCAGCGGAAAGCGGAAGGAACGTTTGCGAAGTTACGGAGATTCTTTGTGACTTCATAAGAAATCTTCATGAATTTACGAAAAACCCTCGTGAATTTACGACGAATGGCTTTGAGTTTAGGAAGAGTTGGAGTCTTCGTAAATTTCCGAAGGTCCGATTGGCAACATTTTTTTTTTCCGGAGCTTCCTTTGCCAAAGTTCTACTATAGCGCCTGTGAGGTAGGCCACAAATCCGTGCCGCAACACACCGATGTGGAGACGGTGGCCTACGTTGCCCCTGTGAAGACGACAGGGGCAAGGCCACCGTCTCCACAAGCGTGTGTTGCGGGGCGGACGGGTGGCCTACCTCACAGGCGCTCCAGGCGGGTGGCGCTTTCAGAATCAACCTTTGGGAGAGGGGCAAAGAAGCATTTTTTGCAAAGTGTGGCTTCTTGCCTACGTTTCAGGCGGCTATGTAAGCGCTAAGCGGGATCGCTACGGTTCGGGCCTATCTTGCGTGGCAAAGCAAATACAGTCGAAAATTATAGACTCCCGGCGGTTTTCCCCACTGGCGCCGTGTAATCTACCCCAGGCGTCTCGTTTCACCTTCCCCGTCGTCGGTATACCCACCCATACGATGATTGTACAGTTCAAAACGCTCCTCTCTCTGCCCGAACAAGGGTCTTGACCACTACGTAGAACACTAGAAGAGCTCCTCTGGCCTCTACTGAGCATTCTCAGACAGTGAGTGAGCAGTGTGGCCTGACACCTGGACCATGGCGTGCGTTGCGTGCCGGCTGCTTCCGAACGGTGCCCTGTCGCTTTGTCTCTCTCCCACCCGGCCGGACCGGGCCGGACGCGCTCGCCTCAAGGCCTCAAGGAGTGCGAGAGGGACGGGGTGACGAAGTAAGCACCATCCCGAAGCAGCGACTCTGCGTCTTCGGCTCGGCCGCACAGTGGGCCGTGGCTGCCGTGGCACTGCAGGGCAGATAAGCCCGGATGCGCGGTGTCGGGTGCGGCTGCTGACCCGCATGAAGGCGCCCAGCGCGCCGAGGACGCCGAGGACGCCGACGGTGTGGCGAGTGATGGAACGCAGTCCGCGAAGCACGCGTCGCGATAAGGCAAATAAACTTGCAGTGTATCCTTCCGCCCTCTCTCCTCCTCCTCACCATCCTCATCCTCCTCCCTCCTTACCCCTCCTCCTCCCTCCTTACCCCTCCTCCTCCCTCACCCCTCCCCCACACCCCTCCTCCTCCACTGCAAATCCACTAGTAAGTTTCCAGTGGCGCTCCGTTTAGGAAGCCAAAACTTGGCCTTCTGGCCGTGGATCGCTGGAGCGCTCCCTGAGATTGCCAAAATTGGGCGTCAGAGGCCGCTGGAGTGCGAAAGTTCGACTTTCTCGGCGGGCGATCCAGGGCCAGAAGGCTAAATTTGGGCATTTTAAAAGATGGAGCGGTAAGCAAACTTACGAATGTGATTGCAGTGTATCCTTCCTCCCTCCCCTCCTCCTCCTCGTCCCCGTCGGCCCAGTGCATAGCAATGTAGCGCGCCATTTCATGAGCCCAATTAAAATGGTCCGAGCGGAGGGCCGGAGGGCCGAGGGGCGGCGGGGCGTTGCGGGGCATGGCCGGCATGGGGCCATTGCGCGCCCCCCGCGCGGCCCCATCCGTCCTCTCTGGCCCCACACTGGCCCCTCTGGCCCCACTGGCCCCACGACACCGTCAAAACACTGCCGCCGCCGTGCCGCCGAGCCCCGCGTTAGGGGACAGTGGTTCCGTCGGTCCCGTCATGCGCTGCGCTGCCCAGTGCCGGCCAAAGCCGGTTTCGACGTTATTTCACGTTTATTCCATTTTATTTCATGTTATTTCAGGGAAAATGTACACCAAACCCCTCGGTAGGTAGACGACAGGGGCAAGGTAGGCCACAGTCTGCACACCAGTGCGTTACGTGTCCAGACGGTGGTCTACCTCACAGGCGCTACAGAAGGCCTGCAACTGTTTAGTGCATTGAAGCTGCGGCGATTCTACTGTGCGCAAAAATGCAACGTGATATTTGAAAAGTGGTCGTACTATGACGTTCCACAACTGGCAATTTTAACCCTGGTTCCTTGATAGACCCTCGCGCGCTAGCGGCTGCCGGCGCGAACTTCGTCCTGCCCTAAGCGTACGTTTGCGACCAATCAGGGTTCAGCTTTTGTCAGTCCACAGTGGCGTACTTGCTGGTTCCTGGCTTTTCTGTGTCTTTTGTACTTCACTTGGCGACGAATGAAAGGGTCTATTATTGGCCACCGTGTACTCGTCTATGCAGCAGGCTGAATGGTGTTTACGCCCGGCGAAAACACAGGTCTGCTCCACTGTTGCACAGCAAATTCAAGTGCGGCAGGCACAGTCCCACTATGTGTCGTGAGCTCACGCGTGTAAGAAACCACTGTCTTGACAAGGGAAAAGAAGTCACACACAATTTTTGGGGGTTCAATGCCACGGGGCCGGCGACGCAAGTGTGGGCCAGCCCGGGCCTTTCACTTCGAGACATGAGACATCATAGTCTCACACTTGCAAGTGTTCGACATTTTGGCTCACGCACAGTGGGCCAGAAGACTGGCGGAGGCGGCCAAAACTCTAGACGCGTTTAGAGCTCCGGAGTCGCTAATGGGACTCGAACCGAACGTGTGACCCCACCAATAAACTCGACGTTCGGAGAGCCATCCATTGATGGGGTCACACGTTCGATTCGAGTCCCGTTTAGTGAATCTGGAGCTCAAAACGCGTCCAGAGTTTTGGCCGCCTCCACCGTTTTCTGGCCCACTGTGTCACGCCAAGTGGTGTGAGGCTTCCCCACACTTGGATTCGCAGTGCGCCGTCGCTGGCCAGGCCATTTCCAACTCACCGTCTGTTGGCCGAGCCTGGCGGCGCCGCGTGCGCCGGGCATCCGGGGCGCCGCCGCGAAGGGGCTGCAGTTGGTGGACGAGGCCATGGTCACGGCGCCGGCGGCCCCCCGTCCTGGCCGCTGCTGCAGCACGGGCCGCGCGCCCGGGCGCCGACGACGCCCGCCGCCGCCATGTCCGCCCTCCGCGACGACGGGGACCGCGCTGCGCTGCGCCACGCCGCCGGGGTGGCCGCCCTCACCCGTTCAAGTCTCCATGCAGGGGTGGGGCGCTGACGTCACGGCTGACGTCACGGCTGACGTCACGGTTGGCGTCACGGAAGTCGCGCTGCCGGAGGCGCCGGGTCGACGACGACGGCGACCTCGCGGGGCGTGGCGGCAGTGGCGGCGCGGAGGCGTGGTGGGCGTCTCGGTGGCGAAGGACCACGCAGCCGACTGGCGCGCTGGGCTGGCTGGGGCCGCTGGGCCGCGGAGCAAGTAAACCACGCTGGGCCGCGAGAGGGACGGACGCGAGTGTCGGGGCGGGGCGGGGCGGGGCGTAGCGGGGCACGCCGACGTGGATGCAGAGCAGTTGGAAGCACGCCGCGCTGCCCGCTGCGCTGCCCCTGCACCGCCCTCTCCCCCCTCCCCCGCCGTGGGGGCCCGCGGGAGGCAAAGGCGCCGGCCGCTGCTTGCACGGAGTTCGGTTTTGGCGCCTGCAGGGTGATTCCGCATGCGAGGCGTCGATCTCTCTCTCGCACCTTCGCGGGACCTGGCATGAGTGCGAGAGAGACTGACCGACGGAATCACCCTGGTGCTGCCCTGCGTGTTCCACGCCCCGACAAGGAAAACTGCTCTGCGTTCTCGGCGCACTCGTCTTCTTCCTCGCGCTGCCCGGGCAGCGGCCGTCAATAGACGCCTCTGTGACGTCAGCGCGCTCTAGAGCGCCGGGCAGACAGACAGACAGACAGACAGACAGACAGACAGACAGACAGACAGCAGTCTTACAGTGGGGCGAAGAGAAACGCGCGTACAGACCCTTTTGTCTGCGTGAACCCCGCCCTTTACTCTCCGTGCCCTTCCGTTTTTCGTGGTCTTCATCTCCATCCTGGTGCCCGGCGCGTTCTGCCCCCCCCCCCCCCTCCCGGCCCGCTGGTCTATTTGTATCCCAGCCGCACCGCCGGCCCTGCACCGGCCGCCCTGCCCTGTCGGCGGGTCTGCATGCTGTTAGTGTAGGGTAAAAGGGTGGGGGGCGTTTATTATCATTTCGCCGCATTTTGTGGCCGTGAAAAACGGCAGGATGAGCGACGGCCACTGCACCCGTGGGAGACTCCGTGAGACTCCGTGGCCGAAAGTGGTTTGGATTCGGTCGGACAGTCGCCTTACGAGCAATGCGATTTGGAGTCAGTCCCAGCAGAGCGTGAAGGCGATGACGAGCCCAGACGAGGGGGGAACAGCTACCCACATTCGTTGTACAAAATTTGACCACATTCCACATTCAGGAGGCAAAAACGCCTGTAAGTAGGCGTGTGGCAAAAACGCCAGAAATCTTGCACATTCTTGCACATTCACACAATCATTGTACACAAAATTTTACAGTGGGTCACCCCTCGAGCCCAGACCAAGACAGTAGTAAGGCGTTATCCAAGAGTGGTGGTCTAGGCTCGCGGGCCGATGTGACCTTCCTCCGGTCCTAATCTCGTCTTCATTTGTTGTGGAAGACCAAGTTCAGCAGATTGATTCCAAG